GCGAAAGTGCTGCGCCTGTGCCACAATCTGTACGAAAGTGCTGGCCCTGCCACAAAATCTGTACTTGACCTTGCGAAAGTGATGCGCCTGCCACGAAATCTGTACTTGACCTTGCTAAAGTGTCGCGCCTGCTACGAAATCTGCACCTGACCTTGCGAAAGAGATGCGCCTGCCACGAAATCTGTACCCGACCTTGCGAAAGAGCTTCGCCTGCCACGAAATCTGCACCGACCTTGCGAAAGTGCTGCGCGTGCCACGCAATCCAAACCTTGTGAAACCTTCGCGTTGCCATTACAGTGGGCCGGGCGCCGAAGCCGCGCCGCCGCACCCGTGCCGAGACCGTGTCAGACAGGCGTCGAGACAGAGGTGGTTGACATCGACGCAGACCCGCTAAAACCCGCAGAGGGTCACTCTTTTTCGCGATTTCTATTACCCCGCCACACGCCCACGCATGTTTTCTCGCATGCATTCAGTCTTTCTTCATCTTATCTGCGCGCAAACAAACTGCATACGTTTTCTTTTCGCATGCTATCTGATCTTCTAAAGCTATCTGCAAGAGCTAGCTTTTCGCACGCGCTATCTGATCTTCTGATGATGCAAGCTACCTTTCAATTAGCTTTTGTGCTATGGAAGTTCCTTCTAAACTTCCTTTGACTAAAGTTCACTGCAGAGAAAAGGGTACCCTTACTCGAACCTCTCTACTGGAGGACCTAGAACTCCTTCCACTTGCTGCAGTTCTTATATTTTCCCGCTTTGGTGTTAAAGGGAATCGATTTCACCACCGGAAATATGTTTTGTTCCAGGGACTTGAGCAATTGGAATTTGGCAATTTCGCTTCTGAGAGGCTCCGCAGAATCCTGCTCTGCTGCACGGACCCGCCCAGCAAATTGAATCAAGGTTGGTGTCCCCTTTAAGCATCACCCGCACCAAACGACAAGCCACAAGATTTAAGCTAAAGGTGATGTCAAATTCACAGGATCCTACTTCTATTCCCCCCCCCCTTCTCCCTGGTTTCCGTCAAAGGCCTGAACGGGACCGAAGCGGAAGCTTAGCCCGCCGCACTCTGCGACAGGAATTTGACTTAATCAGGTACGAGGGGCTGACAAAAGGCACTACCCTGAGCATTGTCGAACGTTTTAGGGAACCCCCCCTTTTTGTCAGGTGGTTCTAAAGGGAAACCAAAAGGATAACTACCTTTCTTTTTGGGGGAGGGGGGCCAAAAGAGTCAGACAAACCCGGGTTAATTCTCTCGCATCTTCACCCGTTCTTTTCAGCCGCGCATGTTGCGGGCATGGCCCCTGTTTTGAAAATGGAAAAGGCGTTGTACCTGTTAGAAATGAAGTGAACAATTCGCAGAAAGGCTAGCAAGTGTCAACTGCTGGTTTTCTGAGGACCGTGTGAAAGCTATCTGTGCGTGAAGGCTCCTTTAGATACTATAGGGCGTCAATAATTGGGATTCGGTTGGGTACAACTAAACCAAATTGGCCCATAGGGCCATACGGGGGGAGAGTATCAAAGAGATAAACACCCACAAGAAAAAGCACGCCCATTTGAGCCCTGAATCACAAAGTTCAGACACCTCCAGGCCGAAAAGGCACCTGCTGAGGCTTCTCTCTGGAGACGTTCCCCGCATGATGCTGAATCTGTATGCGGGTGACATCGGAAGGACCGGGCGTTGCTTTTTTTTTCATGCCGGATCTACTGGGATGCTGTTGGCCAGGATCTTTGTATTTTTTTGGGAGGACAATGTGTGCTTTCCCACTAATCTGCAAAAGTTACACGCAATAGCCACACAGTCATAAACTGGAAAACTGTTTGGCCATCGCTGTGTGGTTTGCCAATGAAGGTAGTTCCCTGATTAGAACACCCCCCTCCGAAAAGAATGCAACAGACTGCCCCGCCAACAAAACAAATTGCCCTTTTTGAAACCTCCAAAAGTGGCAGCTTCAATGGACACCACCAGCAAATTGCAACTTGTGAATGGGAATTCCAGTGACCACTTTTGAAAGCAAATCCCCTATTCGCCTTTTGTTGTCCAACCGGGGGCCATTCAAACATGGCAGAGTGCTCCAGCGGCAACAGCATTCCGGCCCGTTCCCCGTTCGCTTGCTCCCCTGGTTAATGAAGCACCGTTCAAATAGCAAAATAGCTTCTGTTGAGTTTAGTTCAATATGCACAAAACCATGCCAAACGATAGGGGACTCTCAAAAACACGATACCACTGGAGAACGATGGAAACGCCGGAAAACGATAGGGGACTCCTCAAACTAAGTAGCGAAACGGCGGTAAGTAAGTAATTTTCACCGTGCCTCATATGTTTAGAGGAGCTGTTTGCTTTTGGAGTCTAGTGTTGAATGTTCACCTGAATGTCCGGAGCAAGTTTGAATGGGGTTGTGAAAAGAGCGATCAGTGAATAGGAAAGGAAGCAACCTCCCGAACAAGAGTTTGAGAAAGTCTGAGAATGTATGATTCGGCGTTGCCCGAAATAAGGGGAATCCCCTGTCTGAACGCGGAGCACTGCGAGGTCACAAAAGTGTCCTTTGCAAGGCCGCGCTGTTGTTTGCCCATGACTTCTTTCATTTCGTGTGGCTCTCTCATTTGTCCGTCCGTTTGTTTGTCTGTGTGCTTGTATTGTTGAGAGGGAATCCTTATTTGAGCCACAATCAAAGCCCGGGTACGTGAAGGTTAGTAAGGGACGATCCCAGCCATAAATCGCTGCGGGCGCCTTCTTAGTTCTTTACATGGCTCTGGGTCGACCATTTTAATACCGGGGTTTGGTTGTGACTTGTTTGAGGTCGTTAAGCCAAGTGAAATCCCTCCTTGGATGGGAAGAACTGAAGGGGAAGGAGTACCGCGGGCCCTGCTAAAAAGCGCTTCCCCATGCTTCGCTGGTTGGTTTTGGCTTGACTCCAGTAGTGCCCTTTTTAACCCCTTTTTGGGGGAGGGTTCCCCTACTAAAATAGACTGCAAAGGAAAAAGTGGGTACCCTGATTCTAACCTCTCTACTGGAGGACCTAGTTTAGCCGTCCAATCATTCAAGCGTTCAAGCTGGCAGGGGGCTTCACGAATTTCCTTTTGGGAAGGTTCCGATCCACTTCTATGAGCGAGCCGTGAGCTTGTCTCACCCCTCCCTGACTTCCCGGACTTTAAAGCTTTTTGGGAAGACCATAATACTGTGGATGGACGAAATCCTGCACCACTTTGAAACCATGACAAACGATAATTTGTTGGTATTTACAGGAGAATCATCATTCCAGGGTTTCTTAGGTGGTGCAGGATCTTGTCCATCCACAGTAGTAGTGAATGACAAGTTAGTTTCTTCTTTTTTCTGGGCAATCTCGATCAGAAGAGACAGCCCGAAACAAGAAAGGCAAGGTAAACCTCCACGAAAGAGCGCAGCAGATTCTTTCTGGCGGAAAGTCCATTGGATGCTCAGCGGAATCAAGTTTCCTTCTGCCATGCGTCAAACAGGGAGTTCCCGGCCAAGGGCACCCTCAAACTCAGCCCAAAGCGAATGGACCTGAAAAATGTTGGACCCTCTTTACACGCCACCCCTCTTCCCGGAACAGTGGGAGCAGTCAGCTGGATCCTCTTGAGAGAAAATCCTGGGGGTCTGGGAGGGACAGTACTTATGTTAGCACTGCCAGTTCTACTTGAGTATTGCCAAGGACCGTTTTTGGCAGCAACCCAGAAAACAGTTGGACACTAAAGAGGACCCCAAAACAGTTTAAAGAGGATCCGGGCCTCTTGTGAACAACCCCCTTTGTGTGACTGTTTGCCCGTACTTTCTTTGCAAAGAAGCTATATATTTGTGTAAAGACGCTATTTTAAGTTCGATGATTTGGGGACCACTTCTGAAGACTTTAAGAAAAAGGTTTCCTAATGGTTGCCCGGATTTGTTTGCCCGACTGGTTTGCCAAGTTTCTTTGGCCCCTATTTTCCCATATTTTTCCAGCGTTTTTTCCGGCAGACAAGCGCTCCACAACAGAGGATCCCCAAAGCAGTCACAGGATCCTGAATTTGGAAAACACTTTCTACAATAGGGGGTACTATGGTTGTATTCCAATTGGGGGAAAGGACTAGGTCTCCCAGTAGTGCCCTTTTTGTACCCTTTTTTGGGGTCCCTGACGAAGATAGACAAAACAGACAAAAAAGGTTGGTAGCAACTTATTCTAACCTCTCAAATCTGGAGGACCTGGATGTTGAGCCGCATATTGACCCCCAGCTTATCAATAGGTATCCCTGGCTTTCGTGGGGAAGGCCACTTGAGGGGCCACGCCCCCAATCTGGAGGCCCCATGGAGATCACCCAACGTTTTTCCCCAGGTCCCGGACGAACCAACTGAGAGATCGAAAGACACACCTCGATGGGAACCCCAGCCATTCGGCTCAAGAGGTGCTTAGGCTTTTTTGGTTTCGTGGTAGCTTCCCGAAGACTTAACGTTTTTTTTTGGTTTTGGGTTTGGATTAAGTTAAGTGTGTTTTGTTTGTAGGTTGTTTGGGTTGGGTTTAGGTTGTTTGTTGTTTTTTGGGTTTGGGTTCAGTTTTTTTTTGGGGGGTGGTGGTTGGGTTTGGGTGTTTTAGGTTTGTTTGGCTCAAGAGTTAACATTTTTTGCAGGGGATCGAAGGGGAACAGCCCAGTTTAGTGGTAAACAAACAATGCGTCTCGGGCGAATCCACTTGATCGGAAGTGTTGCCGGCACATGTACTCCGGACTCCCCGAATCTGAGACTTTGGAGCACACGAGGGTCATTTCAAAAGGTGGAGATTGAAAATGGTGTACAATCCTTCAGACTAACAGAAGCAAGCTCCCCCAATTGGCCTCCATCACCAAGTCCTCCATTTCGGCTTGGGGGAGTGTGTGAGCCTGAAAAGGCTGCCTTGTGGTGCACTCAAGTTTCCACTCAACCACTAGAAGTGAACAAAACAACTGAGCACAAAAAACGTGCGGCAGTGAATCAAATATAAGCAGCCCAGATGTGCTTCACCTGAATCGACAGGATGTTGAGCATGGAGCTGAAGGGGGCGCCGGTTCTTCACATCTCGGCGGATGGGCAAACCACCACCGAGACCACCTTGAGGCGAATCCGGATTGGAAGGGGACGCATGGGGGAAAAAAACACGGCAAAAACAAAAACGGAAGGAACCCAAAGAACAGGAGGCTCACTCATGTCACTTCCATATTGTTTTTGTTGAATGTTGATGTGTTGTGCAATCCAAAGTTAGTGGCAAACAATGAGTTCAGACGTTTTTTGTCCAATGCAGATAGGTAGTGAGAAGGTCAAACATTGGTGTTGGCCCATAGCCTGCAAGATGTGTTGGGGGGGGTACCGAGTAAGCATTTCCCTTATTTATCCTGGAGTATTTGGAGTATCAATTGTGGGCCATTGGGAGAGGGTGCGCATCTTGAACCCGAAAATTGTGTCTTCCCTCGACAAGGAATCCTTCTACTGGGACCTCTTGGACACCTCCTGACTGCAACCGAAAATACACTCGGTTCAGATATTGATTGGTTCGGATTGGTTTGGATTTGGAGTACCCCTGGTTCTTGTCGAGGGTTTTTTTGGGAACTGTCCTTAACCGAACCCAGACCAGCGGGCCCCAAACCACCAAGAGGAAGGAAGGCCACCATGTGGCGCTCACTTTTTTTTGCGGTTCAAACGCAGAACCTCAACACCGTGCCAAAAACATGCTTGGCTTGTGAGAAGTTAGCCCTTCCCCAGCTGCAACAAATTTGGCTTTTGGCTTTGTGTTTAAGCGACCTAAAGTGACGGAGGAAACACGGAACCCTCTCTGAACATTTGAGAGGAACACGGTCCTGGTCAGCTTCCATGTCGAAGCGGCCAGTCTCAAAAATTGGGAAGGGTCAACCATTCAGGGAGTGCCATCTCGGTACCTGGAGTCTTTTTAAGGACCCTTTGAAAATGGTTGGCCATTGCCCAAAAGAAAGGGGTCATGGTCCTGGACCCATTTTTATTTCGGGTCCTTAGGGAGACAGGTAGGTACAAGGGGGGTCAGTTGAGTCTTCGGGTTTGCTTCGGTTTCCCGGAGCGGGACAAAAGGGCTCGACTTCGGGAGCCTTAGGCAACCCCGGGGACAGGGACGCTCCGAAACCGGTCAGCCGCGTAATCAAACCGTTGAAGTGTTGCGTGTGTAAGGCGAGGCAGACTGGCAGACTGGGAGTACAGAAAAAAACAGGCTTCGTGATGAAGGCTCCACACAATTGGGGGTGATCATGATGAAACACAGGCTTCATGACGAAGGCTCCAAAGAATTGGCTTCATGAAGACTCGTAAACATTTGTGCAAACTGCACAACTCGTAAGCTTCTCAGAGCAGGGCCAACGTCCAGCACTCGCCGCAGGCGTCGCAACCCATTGTGGGTGGTTCTTTCAAGACAATCTGATTATCCAGTTGGGAGTGGCGGTTCATCATGTTCATCCCAGTCTTTCGGTTTGAGTTTCATCCTAACTGGTGTGGGCAAGCCTACCAGTGTTTCCTTCAAGTCCTGAACTTTTGCAAGCAAGGAGGACCTGTTCCATTTCTACCCCAGCCTTAACCCCAGGTGTATGCATGTTTCCCCACTCACAAACAATTAATGTTGACCCCATATTAACCAACCAACCTGTGTATTAATAGGGAGGTATTTCCTTGGGTTTACCACTTTTGGAGGGGCCCCCACCCCCCTATTACTAGTCTGGGGTTGATTAATATGGGGGCAACATTAAACACTTCCTGCGCAGGGAGAACAGCAACCAAGTAGTTTACCATCACATTCATAACTGGGACTGGTGGGGTCAGTTTCCTTACCATATTGCATTCACCTGCTTTTCCTAGTGTGGCTTGAAGATCGAAGATTTCCTTGGTATGTGTCAGAATAGGCCCCCCGAAATGATTGGCTTCCTGGTTTTCGTTCAAACCAACCCCAGAAACCGGTAAACCAAACACCCAGCATCTTTCGGCAGGTGGGGAACGCAAGAAGATGCCATCACATTGGAGGGCACGCTGGAGTGTGTTGCCCCCAACGTCCTCCGCGAGGCTCAGTCGTGTTTTTTTTTTTTTTGTCGAAGGGCCCGGTTCCGTTGGCAGATTCTTCCGGACCTCAACTTCTTTTTTTGGAAGGGGGGGTCGCTTTAAAATCAGCTAGAAAAAGAGAGGGCCCTTTTCCCATGGCCACTGGGTGCTTCCCGGTAAATAGCGACGTCTGGTTTGCGAAGTTCTTAGGGATCATTTCTTGCATTCTTGCGGAACAGTCATTTATGCGAAATGCTTGGGAGTATGTAGGGATGTTTTTTTTTGCCTTCTGGCAAACCATACCCCTTGTTAGATTTTCTTCCGGGGACCCCAACTTTGAGACTTCCTGGACAGAGACATGGATATACCGTGCCCTCCAAAAGTTCAGAAATGCATTCATTATATTTGCATCCTAGAATCCCCCGTTTTGGTCGGATTGGTTTTTTCCGTTCAAGAGGCAAGCTGCACTTTGCCAATTTTTAACAAAGAACTGCCACCCTGAGTTCCTGGGCTTGATCAAGACTTGTCGGGAAGACTGTCTTGGTGGTAAACCAAAAACCTTCGTGGCGTTTTTTTGGGCCAATCCAGTCAGGAAGTTTGGGACAACATGAAGGCTCGTAGTTCGCAAATCCTTTGTTAGATGGGCCCTTAAGGTTTGATTTGGGAGAGCAAGCGACAAGCCCCCGGTGAGGTCATCCTGCGAACTCCAAGCACCTTGTGTTTTTGCCGTGCTTTGCGCAAACTATAACATAAAGTCTATATATATATATACAATGCCCTCCCGGCAAGATTTTGTATTTGTCTGCAGAAAGCAAAACACAACGCCTCAAAAAAAATGAACTGACAGAGCCGCTCGGGCTCGGGGCGGCTTTCGGATGCCGGTCGTGCAAAAAGCACATCTCCACGCGTCCGTGGGGCGAAACGGGGGCGATTCCACAGCTCTGGACTGGGTGATTGCGAAAGGCTATCTTTTCAATGGACCGCCTCCGAACTGGTGGACATGAATCCACAGCGATGTTTGCAAGGGGACCGGGTCCCCTGAAAAGAATGTCAATACCGAACAAGTGGAAATGATCGCAGTTGCCCGCCGCCCGAACGCAGACAGTTGCCAGTTGTGTGGTGATTGAACTAGCGAGTTGACTACCCCGTGCCGGCGGTTTTGGGCAAAACACCTCCGTCTGACCTTTTCGTTTTCCAAGTTCAACATGTTCGTCAAGGCACGCTTCCCACCTTCCCAGGTGTTGGTTGCGAAGCATGCGGCCTTTTTGGTTGCGACTTGCGACTCCCATTCTGTAGCTCGGATCCAAAAGGCTGAACATGGAGCCCGCTCAAAAAGGGGGGCCATGGCGGCCATTTCGCGGAAGGGCTCCGCGTCCTCTGATTTTTTTCGTATTTTTTGGGGCCGGGCTCATTTCGGGGGGGGTACTGTGGATGGTTACGATCTCCAGTTCGCACCGGAGGAACACTGGGAGACCATAACGTTTGTCGGTGCATTGCGGAAGCGAATCAGAAACCAGGGTTTCTGAACGCTGCGAAGTGGATGTTTTCAACCATCCACAGCAGTGGGGGAACAAAACAAACTCCAACAGTGGCCTCCAAAACCCAACCCAGAGACACCTTTCTAAATTGGGGTTCATGAATCCGGGGTGAACCTTCGTGCGAAATGGATCTTGCAGAAGGAACCCGGCCCCAAAACACCCGCTGCACCGCCCCCCCCCCCCCCTTTGAAATCGCAGTTTTTCTCATGGTCTTCTATCTGGAGTCTCCTTCTGACCCTTAAAAATGGTTGGTCATTGCCCAAAATAACAGGGTCATGGACCCATTTTTAGTTCGGGTCAGAAGGAGACTCCCTAGGTCCCCCACTAGTGCCCTTTTTGACCCCCTTTTTTGGGGTTTTGGGTTTCCCTACTAAAATTTAGACAAGACTGAAACAAGGTCGGGTAGCTAACTTCTTCTAACCTCTCCAATCTGGAGGACCTAGCAGGTGGCTTCCACGAACTGCGGCTTTCTCCCATTCCTTTTGGCCGGTCCGAGTTGACGCGGCCAGACGCCGAAGTCCACGAAGTCCAAGGCTTTGAACCTGAAGTGGTGGCCCCTGCCGCGCTTCATGGGGATTTTGGCGTTTGGAGCTGGTGCCTCCTGGCGGGGTGTAGGGACACCAAAAAAAGGGAGAGCCCAAGTGGCGGCGATCCAAAAAACCGGAATTCCAAAATGGGTTGCCCTGTGAAGTGGAAACATGGACCAAAACCTGCGTAACCCCTCCTGTTTAATTTTGAGCCACGCCCAAATCTCATTTTGGGGTTTCTCCTGTAGTTTGAAGCCCCGTTTTTGGGGGTGTCAACCCCTTTGTTAGTGGTTTGAACCCCTTTGCTGGCGTTTCTAAAGGGACGCCAAACGGATACCACCATTTTGAGGGGGACAGAAAGGGGGTGGGCCCCAAACACACAAAATCACATACCCAACTGAATGTTGAAGGCAGGGCGATTGATAAGTGTATGCTCTAATTTCAGGCTGGCGATGCATTAGTCTAGGTGCAGGCGGGAGATGTCACAACAATCATGTTGTGGTGGGTATTTGGCCATTGGTCCTGTAGAGCTTCCTCTAGCTGATTGTTATGAATTGATGATTTGCCTAAAGGCCTGTGTGTCTACTTCCATTTGGTTAAGATGGTCTTCCCGTGTTGGTTTTAAGGGAATCTATCACTATACTGGAAACATGTTTCTATTTTTTTTCCAGGGGACTTAAGCAAATGGAGGTCTACTGATTCTAAGGATGGACACAGGCCCTTCAGTTTCTACTTCCGGGTGGGAATCCTAGTGCGATGGATGTGATTGTGCTTCAATGAGACTCCATCTATGTGTCTACGGTCTCTCAATGTCCATTGGTTGGATCTCCAATAGCTGCAGTTTTTGTTGGATCCCAGCAATAAAATGGCCACTTGCAACAAGTACCACATTTCAACGCTCGTCCTTTGTAGGTTAGTTTGATTAGAGTTAGATGGCGCTGGTGTAGATTGTGATTATCCCATTTACCAGGCCCGTCTATTTTTCCAAAAGGACACCTATGGTCATGTGTCATCACGTGTTTCCTGTTCCAGGCGCGTGGCCCTTGGAATTGTTTTCGATGCTGTGCCCAGAGAAAACCAAAGGCGGCATAGTCATAATCAAACCTGGTAACAACATGGTCTACCTGGAACCCTGTAAAGAATATGAAAACGGCAGTATTCATTTATGCGTGTATGGTTGGTTGGGGTTATTCCACAGGGCTCACATTAAATCTGTCTCCTGTCAGCTTGAGCCTCGTTTCAACTCGAGCCTCATCTTCAGTGGTGCCAGCTTTTCGGCTTCGATTTGGACCCAATGTCACGATTTGGTCCACTCTATTCAGAAGGGGCCATTGCATTCATCCACTGATGCTTGTGGGGTGAGGCGTGAAGGGGACATTGGCTTAATTTGATGCGTGCCGAACAAAAATAAGGGGAAAACACGACGCGTCGGAACCCTGACGTCATTCTGCGCACAGACAACCCCAAAGGGGTTACCAGTTGTCAACAACCCACCCCAATTTGGGGGTAGTTTTTGAGGGTGCCGTTGTGTGTGGGGTTGGTTTGGAGACTACTGAAAGGAAACCACATGTTTGGAGCACTAGCCGAACGGATGCCATGGCGAGGGAGACTACCGTGCGACAACTGTCTGGAAAGGAAGAATCATTCCAAGTGTCCATGCACACCAGCATCGGTGAGTTCAAGAGGCGGCTGCCGGGTGCCTGCCCTGCGAAGATGAATCAAGGCGCAACATGAGCTCGGTGGAGATGGTTGTTGGACACAGGCCCCTATTGAACAAAGAGGAGCTAGTGTCAGACGCCATTCCAGGTGGAGAAGTCCTGGCTTTCCTCAGCATCCAGCCGGTAGTGTGCTCAAGCTTCCAAGCCTCCGGCTGCGAAGTGGAAGACTTATTGGTGGTGGAAATTCCTGGAGAGGTGAAAACGATTGAGGCTTGTGCCTTCAGAGGCTGCAGCTCATTAGTAAGCGTGACCATTCCCAACTCTGTCACTCGCATTCGAGCAAGTGCCTTCGAAGGCTGCAGCTCATTGACAAGCTGGTTGTGTCTTTCACGGTTGCAGCTCATTGGAAAGCGTGACCATTCCCAACTCCGTGAATCAGATTTTGAACCGTGCCTTTGAAGGTTGCAGCTCATTGGCAAGCGTCACTATTCCCAGCTCTGTGACTGGGATTGCAGATTCTGCCTTCAACGGTTGCAGGTCATTGGCGAGCGTCACTATTCCCAACTCTGTGAACGGAATTGGAGAACGTGCCTTCAAAGGTTGCAGCTCATTGGCAAGCGTCACTATTCCCAACTCTGTGCCTGAAATTGGAGCAAGTGAGGTTGCAGCTCATTGGCAAGCGTCACTATTCCCAACTCTGTCACTCGCATTCGAGCACGTGCTTTCGAAGGTTGCAGCTCATTGGCAAGCGTCACTATTCCCAACTCTGTCACTCGCATTCGAGCAAGTGCCTTCAGAGGTTGCAGCTCATTGGCAAGCGTCACTATTCCCAACTCTGTGACTGGGATTGGAGATTATGCCTTTAAAGGTTGCAGCTCATTGGCAAGCGTCACTATTCCCAACTCTGTCACTCGCCTTCGAGCAAGTGCCTTCAGAGGTTGCAGCTCATTGGCAAGCGTCACTATTCCCAACTCTGTCACTCGCCTTCGAGCAAATGCCTTCAGAGGTTGCAGCTCATTGGCAAGCGTCACTATTCCCAACTCTGTGACTGGGATTGGAGATTATGCCTTCAAAGGTTGCAGCTCATTGGCAAGCGTCACTATTCCCAACTCTGTGACTAGGATTGAAGATTCTGCCTTCAACGGTTGCAGCTCATTGGCAAGCGTCACTATTCCCAACTCTGTGACTAGGATTGTCAAGCGTGACCATTCCCAACTCTGTGACCAGGATTGAACAATCTTGGGAGGGTGCAGCTCATTGGCAAGCGTGACAATTCCCAACTGCATATCTGAGATTGGATATGGTGCCTTCAAAGGCTGCAGCTCATTGGCAAGCGTGACCATTCCCGACTGAAGGTTGCAGCTCATTGGCAAGCGTGAGCATTCCCAACTCCGTGACTTGCACTCGAGAACTAGCCTTTGAAGGCTGCATCTGTCAGTTGGAGCCAGATGGGACACGCATACTGTCGTAGCTTCGAGTATAGCGAGTTAGATTTGGTTGAAAAGTGGTCACAACAAAGTTGCGGCGGCTCAACATTTGGCTTCCCCAGACCCCTGTGTGTAGTCATACATGTGCGATCCCTAGCTACATCGCGCTTGGACTTGGCATGGAATCGCGACTGCGGAGAAGGGAGAGCTTGTCCGCCCCATAGCCCGGAACAAGGGTCGCATGATGCCCTGCTGGTGAACGAAAACGCGCGTGACTGGTGCTCCTTTGCAACTTTTGAAGAAACATCAAAAAGGGGTTGCCCTAAAAGGAGTTTCCTCTACACTGGCTCTACAGAGTGGTTTTGGATTCCAAGTCAGAACGCATCGGTTGAACTGTCTCATTGGACGCGCGGCGCCGAACGCAGACACGCAAGTTCATCTCGCCCAGCGAGTTGTCCTGGAAAGGCAACCACAGCGAACAGATTTGTGTTGGATCATTTTCAAAGGTTCAAAGGCGTCCCTCGTGGACACCAAAGCTTGATCCATCATTCTTTCCGACCATCGTACTTTTTGCAATCCGTTTATACGATTTGTTTGAACAGAAGAATCCCTGGAAAGAATCAGGAAAGTACGTCTAGAACAAACCCTCTTGCATTTTCCCTTGGTGTAAGATGAGTCATGCAATGTTGATTCGCCGCATTGATAGAAAGGTGCTCCCTCTAAAAGTGATGAACCCCACTAATATGGGAGCACCTCCCCAATCAACCGGGGTTTGTGAATCTGGGGTCAACATTATGCAGCACGATAAATGGGTGTGTCCTTGGCCGATCCGTGTTTGTGGTTTTCAAGAACGTTTTACCCCTTGGCGCCAGGATTTTTTTGGGGGTCCCAGGAAAGCAGCACGATTTGGGGCACACCCAAGATGTGTAGAGGATGTTGCCAGGTCTTGCGCTCGTTTCGGGACTCAACTGAGTCACAATCAACACCCGAAGAATTGGAGATCAGTAAGGTAAGGGACTATCCCCTTGCCACAATTGCGTGCGGCCTTGAAAATTCTTGAACCCTGGGAGTACGACCATTGTTTTGTACTTACTTCTTGTTAAATACCATGGTTCTGGGATTCCCACCATTTTCATACTTCATTCTTGCTACATGCCTACTCTGCACCAAGCAACCCTGATTGATGATTCCCGCGTAAATTCCAAGAAGCACTGGCTTTCCAGGGTTGCAAAGTGGTGCGAAACGGATTTCGCAACCACCCGCAGTATGGCTCGCGTCTGAAGCTTTCCGGGCCTTCTCGGCGCTTTTCGGCGCCAGGCCCGCCATGCAGCAGCAGCGCCACATGAAGGTGACGCCAGGGTCTCGGAGACTCGGAGCCAAGGCCGTGGAGCGCCCCAGCTGTTGGTGCCAACCTTTACCGGTTCTTTTTGGGGCTTGGAGGGTTCCCCTACTAAAATAGACTACAGGAAAAAGGGTACCCTTATTCCAACCTCTCTACTGGAGGACCTAGTGGAAGCTCATGTCTTCTAACCTCGAATTACTGGAGGAGCTAGGATGTGTGCGAAACTGAGAAAGCGTGCGCTGCGAAGCGGGACCGGGAGGTAAAGGCAGGAGCTCCCAGCCGCTTGTCAAAGTTGCGACGAATGCGTGGAGTTTGTAACTTGTCAAGGGTTCCGATTCCTTGCTGGAGTCTCCATGGCCCTTTGAAAATGGAGCCATTACCCAAAATAAAGGGGTCATGGACCAATTTTTAAAGGGTCATGGAGACTGCAGGTTTGAACTCAAACCAGCAAATTGGATGTTTTCCCATGGTTGCAGAGGTTCCGGGAGGTGTACGGTTCTGGAACTTGCGGAGTGGTCTAGTGCAGCCAGCCCGGTTCAAGGAAGGTTCCGGAGGTTCCGGGTGATCCGAGGTTCAAACAAGGTTCCGGAGATTCTGGGTGGTCTGGCGCATGTAAGCAAGGTTCCAGAGACTCTGGGTAGTTGGGGCCGCCCGTGGGACGAAGTCCATTTTTTGTGTTTTTGTTGTTGTTGTTGTTGTTTTTAAGGAGGTGGTTGGGGGGCGGGGGAGGAGGGGGGGAATGATTGCGTCACTTCTTCGTTTTTGCTTGACAGGAACTTCATTCTTTGCTGTTTTTGCGGGGTGTGTAGGGTGTGTGGAAGACTGGCGAGACTTCTTGAAGTCTCTGTTTGTGTGCTGGCTGTCGTGTTTTGCTGTAGCTCCTTGTGCCCAAACCATGGTGTCAGAAGACGTTCGTTTAGCCCTTGCCTTCATCATCTTGCTGCGTTAGCAGGCGTCCCGCATGGCTTCTCCACACGCTCGGTGCTGGGTCCTTTCTTCGCTGTCTGGCTGCCTTACTTGAACTCTCTTCTGGACGTCGCGTGTCAACCAGCGGACCCCTCTTGTCCTTTCACGGCGTGCCCACGTAGGTTTCCGCTTGACTTTGCGGCTTTACGCGCTTACGTTCCTTTATTGTGGTCTGGTCTTCGGACTGGGATCGTCATCTGCTGCTTCCTTGCTTTGCTTCCATCGGAGTGGTTTCTGCCTGATGGGTCTTGTCTCATCGGTTTTTCAAAAGAGAAGATCATCATACGGTTCCCAGGCAACATGCGGTCTGTAGCATGGCAACATGCTTGAAAGACGATGCTGACTTCTTAAGAGCCTGTGTGTTGCCTGCAACTGAAAAACCAAGAAAGATTTGGGGCTAACTTTTGGGTGAGCAACACCCTCCGTCGGTTTTTCACAAGAGGACTCGTCGTGCGGTTCCCAGGCCACGCGCGGTCTCCAACATAGCAAAATGCTTGATGGACGATGCTGACTTCTTAAGATCCTGTGTGTTGCCTGCAGCCGAGAAAAAAGCCAAGATTTGGGGCTAACTTTTGGGTGAAAAACACGGTGAAGACCCCTCCCTCCGTCATCGGCTTTTGAAAACAGATTACTGAAGGCAGGAGGAGTACACCTCCGGAACTTTTGGAACCTTGCTTCAACCTTACATGTGGCCTGTGCCAAACTGAGCACAGCCCGTAGTTGCCCGTGTAATCTCGTGCTTTTTTGCTTCGGAACAACCTGTCCAAGCTGCGATTACAGGGGGGAGAGGAGAGCACTGATGGGCCTCATGTGAAATGCCCCGAGCCAGTGGGGAATCCCAAATCCCACTGCATGCTGCGTTCAAAAGCTCCGTTTTTCAGCCCCCAAGAAAAAAACGCGCGTTGCCTGGGAACCGCACGATGAGTCCTCTTGTGAAAAGCCGACGGAGGGAGGGGTCCTCATCGTGTTGTTCACCCAAAAGTTAGCCCCAAGTCTTTCTCGGTTTTTCGGTTGCAGGCAACACACAGGCTCTTCAGAAGTCAGCGTCGTCTGTCAAGCATTTTGCTACGTTGGAGACTGCGCGTTGTGAGAATTACTTCACCTGCCAACTTCTGGTGCCAATTTTGTGAGAATTACTTTGCCTGTCAACTGCTCATGCCAACTTTTCGAGTATGATTTCACCTGCCAACATTTCTTTCCAACGTGTAGAGAGTTACTTCACATGCCAACTTGGTCTGCCAACTTGTCAAGAGATACTTCGCCTGCAAAAATTGCGAGAGGTACTTCACATGCCAGCTTCTTATGCCAATTTTTCAAGAGTTACTTCGCCTGCCCACTTCTTATGCTACTTCGCGTGCCAACTTCTTACGCCAACTTTTTCGAGAATTGTTTTATCTGCCAGCTTCGCCTGCCAACTTTTCGCGAAATGCTTTACCTGCCTCTCTGCTTCCGCGCCACTCGTCGTCTAGTTTTCCTCCAGCTGGTTTCTATGAAAGGGTGTTGTTTTTTCTTTTGGTTGCCCAAAACAAACACCACAAATGGGTACCCCCTCCTCAAAAACAGATAGCCCCCATATCCAGCTAGATCCTAGCCCTTGGTTTCAACTTCCACTTGCTTAATAATATTTATTGTTTGTTTTGCCTTGTTGGTTTTAAATGCTGTCTGTCCCTGCTGGAAATATTTAGTTTTTCTTAGGGGGCTTAAGCGCGTGGAAGTCAAGGTGCGTACGGTCACAGGCGTTTTTTGGGGTGAGTTCCTAAGCTTTCGCCGTTGAAAGTGGATCAGAGCGCTTTGATCGAGTTGGCATTTCCAGGTTGTGAAGGCATGGAGATTACAGGGCACAATTCCAAGGGTTCAACCCCTCGAAATAAATTTTACGATTGTAGTAGGGTTACATACTGCTTTACAAGCTTATGTAAGTATTCTTAGCATCCGTACCTCCAAACCCCATAGGTGAAAATGAGTTTCTCGTTTTGGGGGGGGGGGGTGCCCAGTTTTTGTTGCTAAAAGGGGAAACCAAGCGGGGGGGGGGGGGGGGCAAATGGCGCGCCCCCCCCCCTCCCCCTCCCTCCACCAGACAGGCCCAACTGCCAATCCTGAGGTTCTATGACGGCAAGGTGCTGATCCTTAGGGACCGCCGTGGCATTGTGGACGTGCTGTGGCGCCAGGATCCAACGCCTGTCGACAGATTCGGCCGGCACTCGGTTCCTTGCTGGGAACACCGGCCATCTGGTTCCTTATACCATGACCCCCTAATTTTGGGTAATGACCTCATTTTCAAAGTCATGGAGACTCCAGGTGTGTTTAGTTGTAGCACGCAGATTTTAGTCTACTTTTCCACAGGTTCCAGTTAGGACCACATTTTTCAGCCACACACACAAGTACCAAGAAAAGAGTGTGTTTTTCTCCTCATCTGGGGAAAGGGTGTTGCAGCGAATCTTTTTGACCTTTTGGTTTCCCTGATTTGTAGTCAGACGGCCCCAAAAGGTGATCACCATTCATTTCCGGGTCCTTTGGGCAAGTGAGTTACTCACTTCCAGTTGTTCAATTTATTACCATTTCGCCATGGACTAGTCATTTTCTTGGGAATTGCGTTCTACAAAGAAAGGCTTGGTGTAGAGCATTGTAAGTTGAAGAGAAAAGGCAGCCAAACGCAATCGCAACGAGCTTTGCGTTTTTTAGGTCCCATTCCTTCGAAACGCCTGGCAAGGGAAACCTCAAGGGGTTTCGTGGGCTTAGCTTTGGCCCCAGGTCTTTGATACCCTTGGCTTGGTTTAGAGGCGAACCAAAAAACAGTAGTCTCCTCTGTTGTTCGCTACTAAACATTCACCAAGGAGGTTTAGGCCCCCTTGCGCGCACCCTCTGCTATTTGCGCGTGCTTGCGCGTTGTCTGAAGCAAGACAAAGCCACGATCGCATCGCATCGCGGCCAAAAATCCCCGACAAGGTACCCCCGAAGGTCTCCCCTGTTTGGGGTGGTTTAGAGGGGAGCCAAAAGAAATGCACCTGTCCGGAGCACTCGCCGAACCGATGCCAAAGGAGACTACAATGCGACAGCTGTCAGGAAGACTCATTCGTAGTGTGTAGCCGCACAACCATCCGTGACTTCAAGTACATGTTTGTCCCCAGGTAAGATTGTGAGAGGTGGCTGTGGCTCAAAACATGGCTCCCAAAATGGCACCAAAGTGTACATCCCACCAAATACTGAAACCTGCGTAACCCTAGTTCTTTAACTTTTGAACCACACCCAGGTGGTGTCACCATTTGCCAGCCTGCTGCTTTCTTGGGCGCGGAATCAAGTCAGCGCCGGTAGCTGGCCAAGAAGTTAGCCATGGCAAGGGAAATTTCTGTGCGCCAGCTGTCTGGGAAATCCGACCCGTTTCAGTTGTTGACTGACGTAACAGTCCGCGAGTTCAAACGGCAGCTGCACGCGTGGCTGCCCTGCGAAGATGAATCAAAGCGCAGCATGAGCTCGGTGGAGGTGGTTGCCGGAGACAAGCCCCTATTGAACAAAGAGGAGCTAGTGTCAGAGGCCATTCCTGGTACAGAAGTCCTGGCGTTCCTCATCATTCAGCCGGTAGTGTGCTCAAGCTTTCAAGCCTCCAGCTGCGAGGTGCAGGACTTATTGGTGGTGGACATTCCCGGAGACGTGAAAACGATTGAGGCTCATGCCTTCAGAGGCTGCAGCTCATTAGTAAGCGTGACCATTCCCAACTCTGTCACTCGCATTCGAGCAAGTGCCTTCGAAGGCTGCAGCTCATTGGCAAGCGTGACCATCCCTACCTCCGTAACTATGATAGGAAGTCTTGCCTTCAAAGGCTGCAGCTCATTAACAAGCGTGACCATTCCCAACTCTGTGACTGCAATAGAATATGGCGCCTTTGAAGGCTGCAGCTCACTGGCAAGCGTGACCATCCCCAACTCCGTGACTGCCATTGGGAATTATGCCTTTCAAGGTTGCAGATCATTGGCATGCGTGACCATTCCCGACTCCGTGGCCGGCATTGGGGATGGTGCATTTGCAGGTTGCAGCTCATTGGCAAGCGTGACCATGCCCAGGTTTGCGGCTATGGGATGTGGGGTATTTGGCGGTTGCAGCTCATTGCCAAGCGCATAGAGAAGGCGGAAAAATAATAATTAAAAAAAAAAAAAAAAAAACACGGACCTGCAAGTGCCTCCAAAATGGGGTGGCTCCTTTTTTTGGAGTTCTACCGCGTTTTTGTTGGAGTCAAAGGGAAACCAAAAGGAACGCCGGCAATTTTTTCGGGGGGGGGGGAGCACAAAGATGACAGGTCCCAAACGGTCTCTACGCATTGTGCTCCAGGGGACCGTAGGTTTTAGTCCCTTCCATTTACCTGGATTCCATTTTGGGTACATATTTTTGACCCACAGCCATGTGTTCGACTCCCAACAGATTCTGCAAGTCTCAACCTGCAGTGGAGCAGACCCCCCCCCACTTCCATTTGCTTAAGAATCTGTCCTGGGTCCCCCAGCTAGGTGCCAACGTTTACTGTTTTTTTTTTTTGTTTTTTTTTTTGCGGGGGGACCCCCACTAAAATAGACTACAGAAAAAAATGGGTACCAACTTATTCTAACCTCTCTACTGGAGGACCTAGTGTTTGATTTTCTCTTGCTGTTGTGTTTGTTTTTTGGAAAACAACTATCACTGCTGAAAATATATTGGTCAAAATTCAAATACCAGGGGACCGCAGGCTTTAGTCTATTTGTTGCATTTACCAGGGTTCCATTTTGGGTACCTATTCTTGACCCACAGCCATTTGTTCCAGGGGGGTTGAGCAAATGGAGGCCCACCAAGTGATTCATTAAGGGTTATGGTTTTTGATGTGTGTAGTCGGAGTCCTTCTTCGAGGATGACCGGCGGCCCTTGAATGTTCAGCCAGCTTCATAAGTAGGATGTAATGCAACACACAAGGGGACTAACTTTGCTTCATGGCTCCCAGCCATCCCCTTAGCTTCTTAGCCCTTGGTGTGTAGTGGTAGTTTCCATTTGGCCCACCAAAAGTTATTCACTTTTAGCGGGGGATCCCAAAAAGGGGCAGCCCAGTTTTAGCGACCCCCAGTCTCCACTGCTATTGGGTTGGATCTTTAGACTTTAAACTTTTTGGATTCCCTTCACATTAACCAGGAGAAAGTGATTCACTTTTTGCTGGGGGATCTACAGCACCCAAGCACTTAGAACCACGTTATCGCCTGCTGCAGCATGGCTTGCTAGTCTTGGCCTCCTTGACTCCTTGACCTGTTGGCAGCGAAGGACTTGTTCATCTTCCATTTGGTGAAATGAATGTTTGTCATCTTCCCGTGGTCTTAAAAGGGAATCGATCTCACCACTGGAAGCATGTTATTTTCTTCCAGAAGCACATGGAGGCCATGCAGCCTTCAAAAGCTGGTGGGATTGGTGGTTTATCCCACTAGGGTTTCATCTATCCCAAGTGCGAACGGATTTCAATCCGCAGCATACCACTGTTATACCTTCCATGGATATCTTCCATTTGGTGAAATGAAGATGAGTTTTCGTTGCCTGGGTTCCAGAGCTCCCTTTTTGACTCACTCCTTGAGTTTCTGGACTTGAAACTTTTTGGGACGACCAGTGTAGCTTCCATTAGCTGAAGAATGTTTTTCATTTTCTGTTGGTTTTCGCTACTGGAAGCTTTTTTTTTCCAGAAGCACATGGAGGTCATGAAGCCTTCAAAAGCTCGACCGGAGAAAACAAACCCAAGGTTGAGGAGCCAAGGACTTTGGAAAAACCGGGTTCATGGGACACCTGTCCATTCGGGTTAAACCATGCTGAAACGGGCTCCCAGTATTTTGCAGCTACTTGATTTCCTGGTGGCTTTTGTTTTTGAATGCGACGAGGCTACCTCCTTCGAGAAACAGCTAAACATACCGTACCAAGTTGAAGACGGGCCAACCCCAGTCTGAGACATATCCGTATCCATGGTTTTCAATCCATTCAAAACGGGGTCTCCAACTGTTCAAGGATATATTTGCCCTTGCCTCTTTTCTTCCCCAGAATTAGCTCCCCTTTCTGTTTTGTTTGCTTTTTTGGGTCCCTTTGTTTTCCACTAACCAGGCAACAAAGATAATTGTTTGCTCCTAATTCCAGCCTATAGTTTTAGAGCCGCGCTGTTCCAGGATACCAACGAGCCGGTGGTGTATGGCAGTGAAGGTGGCAGCCGAGTCCTCAGTTGTTGACGAGAGCGAGGGCCCGCTCAGGGCGAAGCGGGTTTTTGTGATCGCCCACCGCATTCTTTGTCAGGGCTCCTTAAAAGATACATGTTTCCAACTTGAAACATGGCTTTTTCCACCAAAATTAAAAGGGAAACCACCATTTACAAGGCAATGTTCAGGTGTATAATGTAAGGATCCCTGTTTGCGGGTGCCTGGAGTCTCCATCTGACCCTTTAAACATGGGTCCATTAACCCTTTCTTTTTGGGTAATGGCCCCATTTTTAACGGGTCATGGAGACTCCAGGTGTGTTTTTGTTTGGGGACACCACACATGTTAGTGGCAAAGAGCCAGTTTTGTTCGACTGTTTTGGCCAACCCACGGAAGAGAGCTGGGATTTATACTATATATATATATATATTGTACCCCCGTGGGTGGCTTCCTTTCTTCCTTTGTTGGGGAAGAGTCCCCCTTGTAAAGTGAACCAACCAAAGAAGGATGCCCCTTTTTTCCACGGTCACCGGGCATCCGGGTTGTAGCAAACAAAGAAAGAAGCACTTGTAACTTACCTCTTAAAAACACAACTTTTCAACTTTTTGGGTAACATGGGCTATATGTCTGTAAAAGGTTAACTTCCCCAATCCTTGGAGTTTTAAGGGGTAAGGTAAGGACGCCGGCACGACCCCCTCCAAGCACCGGGTGTGCTTTCGAGGCCAACGCTTGAACCTCCGGGGAAGGAACCGACTGTGAATTCCGGGGGGGTTGTCCTACGGGAAATTGCCCTCGTTGTGAAGAGATTGAGTTGTGAGTCTCTCACTTGCCCAAAGCGAATCGACCTTTCAACCTTTCGGCTTTCCCGTTTTTTTGGCCATGTCCATTGAAGTCGCTCCAAAAGATTGACCTGTTCCCAAGTCAGACACTGGGCTTTCCATTTGAATCTACTGTACGGGGGCAGAAGGGTAAAATCATGGGGCCAGTTGAAGGGAAAACAAAAGGGAACCTGCCACTTTTGGGCTTCAACAGGAGACTGGGCTTGGGCTAATGGAACGTGCAAAAGAAAGCCGTCAAGTGAAGCCCAACTAGCCGCACCCGCATCCCACAGCGCGTTTACGCTTCAAGCAGTAGCCAATAAATATGCCATGGCAAGAGAGATTTCCGTGCGGCAGCTGTCTGGAAAGGAAGAATCATTCCAAGCATCCACCCAAACGAACATCCATGAATTCAAGAGGCAGCTGCACGCGTGGCTGCCCTGCGAAGATGAATCCAATCGCAACACGAGCTCGGTGGAGATGGTTGTTGGAGACAGGGCCCTATTGAACAAAGAGGAGCTAGTGTCAGACGCCATTCCAGGTGGAGAAGTCCTGGCTTTCCTCATCATTCAGCCGGTAGTGTGCTCAAGCTTCCAAGCCTCCGGCTGCGAAGTGGAAGACTTTTTGGTGGTGGAAATTCCCGGAGACGTGATTGCGATTGAGGGTCATGCCTTTGATGGTTGCAGCTCATTGGCAAGCGTGACCATTCCCAACTCTGTCACTCGCATTGAACAATTTGCCTTCAAAGGTTGCAGCTCATTGGCAAGCGTGACCATTCCCGACTCCGTCATAGATATTGGAGTTTGTGCCTTTCAAGGTTGCAGCTCATTGGCAAGCGTGACCATTCCCGACTCCGCGAATAAGATTGGAGAACGTGCCTTTCAATTCTGCAGCTCATTGGCAAGCGTGACCATACCCAACTCCGTGAATGAGGTTCAGGAACGTGCCTTTGAAGGTTGCAGCTCATTGGCAAGCGTGACCATTCCCAACTCTGTCACTCGCATTGGAGCAAGTGCTTGCAGCTCATTGGCAAGCGTCACCATCCCTACCTTCGTGACTATGATAGGACCTTTGGCCTTCAAAGGCTGCAGCTCATTGGCAAGCGCTAGCATTGGCAACTCTGTGACTGAGATTCGGGAATGTGCATTTCGATGTTGCAGCTCATTGGCAAGCGTGACCATTCCCAACTCCGTGAATGAGATTCAGGAACGTGCCTTTGAAGGTTGCAGCTCATTGGCAAGCGTGACCATTCCCAACTCTGTCACTCGCATTGGAGCAAGTGCTTGCAGCTCATTGGCAAGCGTCACCATCCCTACCTTCGTGACTATGATAGGACCTTTGGCCTTCAAAGGCTGCAGCTCATTGGCAAGCGCTAGCATTGGCAACTCTGTGACTGAGATTCGGGAATGTGCATTTCGATGTTGCAGCTCATTGGCAAGCGTGACCATTCCCAACTCCGTGAATGAGATTCAGGAACGTGCCTTTGAAGGTTGCAGCTCATTGGCAAGCGTGACCATTCCCAACTCTGTCACTCGCATTGGAGCAAGTGCTTGCAGCTCATTGGCAAGCGTCACCATCCTTACCTTCGTGACTATGATAGGACCTTTGGCCTTCAAAGGCTGCAGCTCATTGGCAAGCGCTAGCATTGGCAACTCTGTGACTGAGATTCGGGAATGTGCATTTCGATGTTGCAGCTCATTGGCAAGCGTGACCATTCCCAACTCCGTGAATGAGATTCAGGAACGTGCCTTTGAAGGTTGCAGCTCATTGGCAAGCGTGACCATTCCCAACTCTGTCACTCGCATTGGAGCAAGTGCTTGCAGCTCATTGGCAAGCGTCACCATCCCTACCTTCGTGACTATGATAGGACCTTTGGCCTTCAAAGGCTGCAGCATTGGCAAGCGCTAGCATTGGCAACTCTGTGACTGAGATTCGGGAATGTGCATTTCGATGTTGCAGCTCATTGGCAAGCGTGACCATTCCCAACTCCGTGAATGAGATTCAGGAACGTGCCTTTGAAGGTTGCAGCTCATTGGCAAGCGTGACCATTCCCAACTCTGTCACTCGCATTGGAGCAAGTGCTTGCAGCTCATTGGCAAGCGTCACCATCCTTACCTTCGTGACTATGATAGGACCTTTGGCCTTCAAAGGCTGCAGCTCATTGGCAAGCGCTAGCATTGGCAACTCTGTGACTGAGATTCGGGAATGTGCATTTCGATGTTGCAGCTCATTGGCAAGCGTGACCATTCCCAACTCCGTGAATGAGATTCAGGAACGTGCCTTTGAAGGTTGCAGCTCATTGGCAAGCGTGACCATTCCCAACTCTGTCACTCGCATTGGAGCAAGTGCTTGCAGCTTATTGGCAAGCGTCACCATCCCTACCTTCGTGACTATGATAGGACCTTTGGCCTTCAAAGGCTACAGCTCATTGGCAAGCGCTAGCCTTCCATTCTCCACTTCGATTGGATTCGAGGCCTTTGGAGGTCGCTTAATCAAGCGAAGGAAGGGAGCAGCTCCGGGAGCCTACAGAACCACCTAGATATAACCACCTAGATATAGCCTACAGGCTACGCCTCACAGAAGTATCCTGAATCCCCGCAGAAGTCTCATGAATAGCCCTGATGGCAAATATGCAAGCTCTCCGCAGAAGTGCCTTGTAGAACTGCTTAGAAGCTCAAATGTCTGCAGAACATGTTTGCCGAGAACACATCAAGCTTGCCATGTGTTTCCTTGCTGTAGCAGCGCGCCTGAGAGCCAGAGGTCCAAACACCGGACAGCGGCTGTTTGGGGGAGATCGGACAGCCGGATGGTCAGGGAAGGGCTTCGGACACTGGCACTGTTTGTCCGAGCTGGAGCACGCCTTCGTTGTTGAGTGACCAGGAACCGCTGGGAAGCATGTCAAGTGACGCTAGCAACGGCCAATATTCACCTTCATTGCTATAGCAAAGGGCTGGCACGGGCCACGCCCACCAAATTGCTCATCAAATGTTCACCTACCTGGAGTCTCCACGAAGCATGGCGAACAGGTACCCTCTGTGCAGGCAACTGGCCTCCGCTGTCCACGTACAGCGGGATCAGGTCTTGAGACCTCTTCAGGGAAAAGAACGCACTGAGCCCCAAGCACGAGGACTTCTTCCAAAAAAAAAAAAAAACTAAAATGGGTGGGGCACCTACCCCAAAATGGTACCATTGGTTTTGACCCACAGCCACATGGGTATGTTTTTTTTGAGGGAACCCTTTTTGGGTTGTTTTGGAAGATAAACCAAATGGACAGCTACTGATGTTGGGTTCCCGCAGTTTAAGAGCCGAGACATGTTGTTTCTGTGGTTTTTGGCCCCCCTGTTTTAGACATACCCATGCGGTTTCACCAAGGTTTTTGGGCAGAGTTTGTGAAACAACAGCCAGTGGTGGCGTTCTGAAGGTGATGTTCGATCATCTAGTTGGAACCCTTCGGGACTAGCGCCCTTTGTCTTGAGATGGGCAAACCTGCGAAATGCGTTGGTCAATGTGTTCGTTTGGTTTCCCAAAGAGCCCAAACGAATACAGCAACTGCCAACACCTGCCGTCCGATCGCAAAGCAACCCTCACGCGGAAGCCCTTTTCGAATGGGTTCATCACCAAGATTTGAGATACCAACTCTATTTGAAGGAAACGTGGCTGACAATGTTGCTTTTTGTAGGTGCTCTATTTGGGGTTTCTTCAAAGAAAGCCAAATGGAAAACCAAAATACATTTGGGGGTCCCCGATTTTTAGACACCCCCACTTGGATTTTTACAATAGGCTTCCCTCTGGAGGGAGCAACCCTGTCTCAAATCACAGTTGTCCCGGAATAAACAAAAAGAAAGAAGAAAAGTAAAAGCTGCCAGCACTTTTTCACAATAGGCTTCCCTCTGAAGGGAGCAACCCTGTCGAATCACGAATTGTGCACGAAAAAAGCGGCTGCCACCACTCTCCTGTCTCAAATCACAGTTGTCCCACTCGGAAAAGAAAGAAAGAAACACAAAAAGGCCTCAAATCACAGTTGTCCCACTCGGAAAAGAAAGAAAGAAACAAACAAAGGCCTCAAATCACAGTTGTCCCACTCGGAAAAGAAAGAAAGAACAAAAAAGGCCTCAAATCACAGTTGTCCCACTCGGAAAGAAAAGAAAAAGAAACGGTCTCCGGCACTCTTTGTTTTCTGATTGGTGGTTTCCGTTTTCGCCTCCGCCCTGAAAAAAAAAGCGGCTCGCTCCGCTAGGTGCAAAGATCTCGCCGGAGGTCGGGGAGGTTTCGCGAGCTCGTCTCCGTATCAGACCCCACTTTGTCGGCTTCGGCGTGAACAAAAGGCCCATTTCTAGACAAGCTTCAAAAGGTTGCCAGGTCCCCCAAATAGGCTACCGAAAAAAGTTGGTACCCTTATTCTCTCTACTGGAGGACCTCTATGTCCACAAGGGGAAAACCACGTCAAACGGAGCACCCTGTTTGCAACGGCAAGCTGGGAAGCCATTTTCTGGTCCCTCCGCCCCTGATCCACTTGTCACTTTGCTGGACAAGAGCTTAGACAGCCAGTGGTGCCAGTTGTTGGTAATGGTTGTTTGGAGGGATTTTTGGCTTTATTCCTTTTGGAGTTTTTTTTGTAGGTGTTCTTCTTGTTTGGGGAAATCCTGTTGTTTTGATTTTGTTGTTTTTCTTTTTTAGCTCAACTGCAAAGAACAAAGTCCCTCGTTTATCCTTTTTTCACCATGGCCACTGGGGGGGGGGTTGGGCAAGGGTACATTGAAACTCGGCATTTGGCAAATGGATCTTCTGCCCGATGATCTCACATTGGGGGAAGGGAACAGAAAGGTCCCTTGAGTTAGCATCCTCAGCAAGTCCTTTACAATGGTTGCCACTTCTGGCAGTTGGCCACTGTTTTAAGTCTTGGTTTCGTCCAAGCTGGCGTCACTCTTTGAGTTGAGGTGTGAATGTGTGTCTGTGTGCGTGCGTGCGTGCGTGCGTGCGTGCGTGTGTCTGTGTCTGTGTTTGTGTCTGTGTCTGTGTCTGTGTCTGTGTCTGTGTCTGTGTGTGTGTGTGTCTGTGTGTGTGTCTGTGTGTGTGTGTGTCTGTGTGTGTGTGTGTCTGTGTGTGTGTGTGTCTGTGTGTGTGTGTGTGTGTCTGTGTGTGTGTTTGTGTGTGTGTGTGTCTGTGTGTGTGTCTCTGTGTGTGATTCTGTGTGTGTGTCTCTCTGTGTGTGTCTGTGTGTGTCTGTGTGTGTGTGTGTCTCTGTGTGTGTCTGTGTGTGTGTGTGTCTCTGTGTGTCTGTGTCTCTGCGTCTCTGTGTCTTTGTGTTCTGTGTCTCTGTGTCTCTGTGTCTCTGTGTCTCTGTGTCTGTATCTGCGTTTGTGTTTGTGTTTGTTTTTGTGTATGTGTGTGTGTGTGTGTGTTTGTGTCTGCGTGTGTGTGTGTGTGTTTTCAGCTTGGTTTGCCAGGGTGACTGGTGCGGTCAACCTGTTTCATCTCTTATGGGGATGGATGATGTATACATAATATCTACATTTGTCAATGTATCACTCAAAGCCGGCCAGACTGTTTCAGGGCCTGCACGTTCACTAAGGGTCCTTGAGCGGCGGTTTCGCCAATGTGTCAGCTGCCATGGAGCGCAAAGCACCAAACAAGTTACCAACGCCTTGGGTACAAGGGGTAGCTATCGTTTGTTGTTCTTCCTTCCATTGGGCCCAGAATATGGGAAAACCAAGGCACCAATTTCGCTTTTGCCGCGCTTCTTCTGGATCTCCAGCCCGTCTGTGGGCATTGTTTAAACAAAGCACGCCCTTGTTCTCTTCAAAGGCTTCAAGGAAACGAAAAGGATAGTGTTTTAACAATTCGTAGTTCTAGGGGTTGATTCCACATTCTGTTGAAAAGACAGGCGTTTCCCTTTGTTTTGTGGTTTCTGAAAAGAAGGGTTCTTGGGAAGAATGGTAAGCCTTTTCTTTAGACTAGTTGTTTAAACGTGCCGACCGAATCTTGTTCCATGGAGAGTGTTTGAACCTGGAGTCTCCTTCTGACCCTTTGAAAATGGTTGGCCACCCAAAATTTATAGGGGTCAAGGGGACCCATTTTTATTTCGGGTCCTTAGGGAGACTCCAGGAAGTGGTTCAAACTTGCACCGAGGGCTTCCCAACGACTTGCCCGACCGAAGCCTAAGCCAGGACTGGCTTGAGCCAGTGGTCTACGGAGCGGCAGGCGCTCGGCGCACCGAAGGAACCCAACCTAGCTACCGATCTGCTCCAAATTTGGCCAAAAAAAAACACCCTTTCAAGTTTGTCTTTCATTTAGGGGACGTTCCCCAAAATTCGAGGTGGTGTTCCTTTTGAACATGTTTTTTTTTGTTCCCCAAGCTTGGTGGGTGTTAGGGGGAGACCAAAAGGAAATCATACATTTTGCGGAGCTCCGATTCCTGAAGCAGACACCCAGATTTCAAGTTCCTGATATCCCCCGTATTTAGCATCCAGAGAAACTCGTACTATCTTTCTCCCACTTCCAGTTGCTGAAAACAAATATGTTATATTTTCCCCTGTTGGTTTTAAAGGGAATCTATTTCACTGCAGGATATGGTTTCCCATTTTTCCCAGGGGACTTGAGGCAAACCCATTTTGATCACGGTCAACCCGCGGGCGCTTGCCGTAAATCAAAGAAAAGGGTACCCTCCCCCTACTAGGTCCTTGGCTAATGCCCTTTTAAGAAAGAACAAAGTTGGTACCAACTTATTCTAACCTCTCTACTGGAGGACCTATGCTTTGGAACCTGACTGACTGGAGCCCTTCGATTCGGTTGGACATTCAAGTGTCACCCTTAAAGCAGAGGTTAGACAGGCTGGTGGAGATGATTGCTGCCACATACCTGGACCCGCAAAATTCACCAAGCGGGGGCAAGCACCCCAAAATGGGGTGAGCTTCCAGTTTGATGGGAGCTTTGAGATAGGTACATTGCGAAGGTTAGATTGGGTTTTAGCAACCACAGTTTCATGATCGAAGTCCCATCTTCGTTTCGCCCCGAGTTGTCCATGCCTGCTTTCAGGGGAGTTGAAGGGACGTTTGGATCGAGACACAGTGCTCTCACCCCGCACCGTAACTTTTGCAAGGAAATTAGGTCCAGGACAAATGGCTCAAAAAGCCGGTACCAAAATGGAACCCTGGTAAGTGAAAACATGGGTGCCAAAACCTGCGGTTTGCCCCTCCAGCTTAATTTTGAGCCACAGCCAAGTGTCTCTGTTTCGGGCACCGAATAATGGTTGCTTTCCTCTCGGCTTCCCTTCATGGAATGAGTACCAGCCTTGTTCACTCCAACTCCAGGATGGATCCCAATCTTGATCTGTCCAACCGGCAGTAGGCCTTTAAACAAACCTGACAATTGGTGCCAAAGAGGACACTCCCAGCATTGGCACCTGAAGCCTAGACAAGAAAGGTTTCCGATCAGTTTTCCTCGAAAGGTGAGATTATGTCGTGGCCCTGGTGCATGGTGCTTGAAGCAGCCAGGGTTGTGTCTCCATCTCGCGGGCGACTCTGAAGACTTGAGCGCAGTGAGCTGACACGGTGAACCAACTGCGGCATAATGCGGCATATCGGTACCCAGACAACCACCGAAGCTAAATAGCCCTCAAGTTCCGGCTCTGTCATTGTGGTCTCTCGATCCTAAGTCCAACATCTAAAACGGCAGGTCAACAAAGACATTCTCTCAATGTTGACCCAGGATTAATGTTGACCCGTCCCACTAGGGTGAACACCCCTCCAAAAGTGGTCTGAATCCAACCGCTAAAAAGGGACCTTTCCCCGATCAAAAGCAACCTTGTTGATTTTTTCCAGCTTCTCAGCAAATGGAGGCTTGGCAGACTTGCCATCAAAATGCAATAGCCTTGACAGGCGCTCCACCAACAGGTGAGGGCCCAACTCAAGTCGACGCCCTGGTCCGGGTTGGATGCTTTACGCCCAATTATATGGTTGGGTCAAAACCGTTTTGGTGCGATTTTGGGGTAGGTGCAGGTGCGGGATTTTGACCCATGGCCATGTACCTGAAGTCTCCTTCTGATCCTTTAGAAAAGGTTGGTCATTACCTAAATTTCAGGGGCCGTGGACCCATTTTTAGAGGGTCCAGGTAAACATACACCCAGGGGCATATGCTGACACACACACACACATATTATATAGTGGTTTCTGTCTGACGTCGTCGTATACAAAACTGCCTGACTTTGACTACTGGAAACTTTGACTCATGTAAGCCAAAGAGTCAATTGCCCGTAAAAGGAGAAAGAGCTCAAAAAAGTGCGTTCAAAGGCTGGGAGCAGCTGCTGTTCTGGGAGCGCCTCAGACAGCGCCAGAAGATCAGCTCAAAGACTTGACATCTCCGGAGTTGGTTTGCCTAGGTCCCCCAGCTAGGTGCCCTTTTTAAGCCTTTTTTGGTTGGGAGGGTTCCCCTGCTGAACTAGACTACAGAAAACAGTTGGTACCCTTATTCTAACCTCTCCACTGGAGGACCTAGTTGCAGCCAGAAAACCCCTGCGTCTTTGCGACGGCGATGACAGTGATCTTGGCGCTGGTCGTGTGTGTGTGCTCGCCTCTTTGGCACGAAAGACCAACTCAGGCTCGACTTTGGAGCTGGCTCCATCTCGAAGTCCGGACTCTGTCACGCTCTGGTTTGTATGTAAAATCTCACCATCTGGAGAAACAAGCCTCAAGACGGGAGAACTTGCACAAGCAGTGTGCGAACCTTCCTCTGCAAATGGCCCGCCAGATGCCACAGGAAGCAGCACCCTGAAACTTTGAGCTGAGAAATGCAACAGCATCTTGGTGGATGGCCGTCGGAACACTCGCACGCCTCGCGCCGTTGATCCGATTACCAGCATATTTCGATCCAGATGCACATAGGGTCGGAAAATCCAACTTTCCTTTGCAAGACATTGTCAAGAAAAAGGGCAGCCGTGCTGCAAATCCGCCATAAATAATGTGGTGTTAAGTCTGACAATATTGCGCGTAGCTCAAATCCAGTTGCCGGCCTGCCGTGCACAATGCGGATTTGTCACTATGTTCGACCCAACAGAAATGAGTGCGAGTCGGGAACTCAGCCCAGTGAATTACTCTACAGATTAGCATGGAACCAACAAAAACACAGTCTTGGAGCTTTTCGGGAGATCCCCTCTGCGATCTTTGGATTGAGAACTTCTACCTAGACCAGCCACCTGTTCCTTTAGGTTTCGGTTTAAAGATCAGGTAACCAGTGAGGTTGGTGGTTTGGGTTAGTTGTTTTGGGGATTTGAACCTCTAGCTGTTGTAGAGGGTACATGGGAAACTAACCCTTAACCACCAAACCACCGGGCTCCAAACCACAAATCAGAGGGAAGCTGAGAACAGATTGAACCCCAAACACGGATTTCGGTTTGCCTTACGGTTTCAACCAAAAACCCTTTCCTGAAAAGCAGGGCCCCTTAAAAGATACAGTTTGCCCATTTGAAGCATGGCTTTTTCCACCACAATAAAGGGAAACCACCATTTACAAGGCAATGCTCAGGTGTATGGAGCCTCAAACACGCAAACACCTATGGCCTTCCGGAACCCAGCTCCGTGAGTCCCAGTCTTCTCTCTTTGGAACGATGCCCAGACCTAAATGCCTATGTGTTTTAGATGCTTTTTTGTAAGGAGCCACCACAAAAGTGGACATGCAGGAATTTGCCCTTAAATGCTCTTGGGTTGGAACGATACCCTGGTGGACTTCAAAAATCCAGACCTAAATTCTTACTGTGGATGGACAGAATCCATTTCGCACCACCTAAGAAATCATGGGAGACCATTGTTTGTTGGTATTTACAGGGAATTCTTAGGTGGTGCAAAATGGATTTCGTCCATCCACAGTATGGTTTTTACCACAAAACCCTAAATTATGCCCACCAAAGCGTCCCTAATGAACAATTCATTCCCACATGATGTCCAGATGCGACCAGAGGGTCCGCACATATTTTTCACACCCAAGTGAGTTGTGAAGTTGTGCGGGGGGGGGGGAGAGCGGCAACCAACCAAGTGTGTGGAACGAGCCTGCGGGACGAGTAAGTTCGGCCAGGCCGAAAGACAGCCCGAAAGCCTTCCGCTGCCGATGAGGTGAGTGCAGTTTGTTTGGGGGCAGGGCACATGCTCACATGCTTCCCATTTCTGATTGGAGAACATGGGTTGCTGAAGCTCGGATTGGACGCCTGGTTTTTCTTTTTCTTTTTTCCCCCGGTGCTTCAATTGACCAGTATGGCTTCAGGCCCTGGAGATCTTTTTCCACCAGACACGCAGGCTGAAACCATCACATTGCAGATCGGGCAAACTCGCATAGGAAGGGTGAGGATTGTATTCCCACCCTGCACAAAGATACATTTTTTTGGGGGGTGGCCAATGAAATTGGCCACTCTCTTTTTTTTTATCAGGTGTACCGGTTCTATTCATCGCTTCCAAAAGGATTGCCAACCAAATGGGGGCAGCAGTTGCATCATACGTTGAAAACGACCGCTTTTTGTTGTCTTGCTTCGAGAAGAAAAAAAAGTTTCCAGACCGAACAGCTGGGATCTCCTCGAGTTGTTGATTGATGTTGTTGGGGTCCCCTTCTGAGGAGGTTCCGAGAACCTTGGGGTTGCCGGTGTCCAAACTGAGATTAAAATTGGCGGGTAGGCTAGATAAAATGGGTCTGTCTTGCGATCAGAACCCCCAAGAACTTATGGTGTTCCCTTTGATTTCCCTTTGATTTTTTCAGAAAAGGGTACCATCAAGAAAGGAACCACACCCAAGCAGGTACCTTTTTCAAGGGAAGACTGCCCTTTTCAGGGTAACGAGCCTCAAAAAAGACCGACCCAAATACTGTGGATAGACGAAATCCATTTTGCATCCCCTAGAAACCCTGGAATGTAAATTCCAACAGACAAGGGTTTCCCATGGTTTCAATTTGGTGCGAAATGGATTTCGTAACCATCCACAGTCGTATTTCTTTTAAGGCCACCCCTAGGGCCCAAGCCCTTTTGCGAGGGGGGTCTTTGGGGAGTTGCGGGACTGAGCCCAGTCACGCATACTTTGGGTGGGGTCCAGCACTGCTATGACTTGTCCTTTTGCGAGGGGGTCCGTCACGACGGTAACCCCGTGTCTGGGAGAAGCTCTTCCTCTGCTTGCAACTTTGAGCGTTTCGATCAAGGCTCGGGGGCCTTAAAGAACGATCGGGTACAAGTGGTCGAGTGGTTCGTAAGCCGGGTTTTAGGACCCACAAAAGCCCACGGTTAGAAGTCCCCGTGGGAGTTATAGCCCGGCTTACTGACACTAAGTAATTACTAATTACCCGATCGCCCCTTTAAGTACAGAGATCGCCCTCGGTTTCAGACACAGCCTCACAAGCCCCAGCAATACACCGTGGGACTCCTCTCCAGCACACAAGAGGAAGTCTTCACCATCAATATCATGCCTGGATCTGGACTTCAACATCAACTCAATGTTCAATCTTCCCCAGAATTAGTTCCCCTTTGTATTTACATGTATCATCTCATTTTTCCGGACGGAGAAGCTCAAAATAGCCGAGTCACCCACCACATGCTGGACATGAAAAATCCTACACCGAACCGCCGTCCAAAGAACTCCGTGCCTTGAACCTAGCGCAATGAAGTCGGAGCCGTGGAGCACCAAGCACCAAGCACATGCTGAACATGTCTCCAGAAGCTGCAACGCCATCGGCTCCAGCCATACAGCAGCTGGTTTAGACAGAACAGCGTTTACAAGAGGAGTCGGTCGCCCGAAAGAAATCCGCCGGGGGTGTTCACTGGGGGTACGGGCTTTTGACCCATGGCCATATACCAACCTGCCATTTGGGGTACATTTTGTGAGCCACAGCCAATTGGTTGGGGTTATGGCCATTTGCGTGGCAATTAAACAAACCGTTTTTGGGGTTCTGACCAATCCACTCAGGAAGGGATAATTTGCCATGGCGAGAAAGATTGCAGTGCGGCAGCTGTCCGGGGCAGACAAAGCATTCTCAGTGCCGACAGACATGCCCATCCACGAGTTCAAGAGGCAGCTGCACGGGTGGCTGCCCTGTGCAGATGAATCGAAGCGCAACATGAGCTCGGTGGAGCTGGTTGTTGGAGACAGGCCCCTGTTGAACAGCAAGGAGATGGTGTCGGAGGCCATTCCAGGTGCAGAAGTTCTGGCTTTCCTGAGCATCAAGCCGGTTGTGTGCTCAAGCTGGCTAGCCTCTGGCGTCGAGCCAGGAGATTTGCGTGTGGTGGAAATTCCAGAAGGCGTTGCAGAAGTTTTGCGTCACGCGTTCTCTATGTGCAGCTCATTGGCAAAGGTGACCATCCCCGACTCAGTCACTCAGATCGGAGAAAGTGCCTTCAACGGCTGCAGCTTATTGACAAGTGTGACAATTCCCGACTCTGTGACTGAGATTGGGCAGTTTGCCTTTCAAGGTTGCAGCTCATTGGCAAGGGTGACCATTCCCGACTCTGTGACTATGATTGGGAGAGGTGCCTTCACAGGCTGCAGCGCATTGGCAAGCGTCACCATCCCCAACTCCGTCGCTGTGATAAGAGACTTTGCCTTCAATGCTTGCAGCTCATTGGCAACCGTGACCATCCCCGACTCAGTCACTCAGATCGGAGAAAGTGCCTTTCAAGGTTGCAGCTCATTGGCAAGGGTGACCATTCCCGACTCTGTGACTATGATTGGGAGAGGTGCCTTCACAGGCTGCAGCTCATTGGCAAGCGTCACCATCCCCAACTCCGTCGCTGTGATAAGAGACTTTGCCTTCAATGCTTGCAGCTCATTGGCAACCGTGACCATCCCCGACTCTGTGACTGTGATTGGGGAAGGTGCCTTTACAGGCTGCAGCTCATTGGCAAGTGTGACCATTCCCGACTCTGTGACTGAGATTGGGCAGTTTGCCTTTCAAGGTTGCAGCTCATTGGCAAGGGTGACCATTCCCGACTCTGTGACTATGATTGGGAGAGGTGCCTTCACAGGCTGCAGCTCATTGGCAAGCGTCACCATCCCCAACTCCGTCGCTGTGATAAGAGACTTTGCCTTCAATGCTTGCAGCTCATTGGCAACCGTGACCATCCCCGACTCTGTGACTGTGATTGGGGAAGGTGCCTTTACAGGCTGCAGCTCATTGGCAAGTGTGACCATTCCCGACTCTGTGACTGAGATTGGGGAGTTTGCCTTTCAAGGTTGCAGCTTATTGGCAAACAGCAGAAGGCGCAAGGCCACACCTTCTCCGGGTGCAAAGAAGCGCAGAACCGCCTAGATATCTTTACCTCTTTTCAAATTGAATCTATGCCTCGCAGGAGCCTTCCGCAGAACCCCTGCAGAAGTGCCTCGCAGAACGCCCACTAGCTCAAAACGTCGCAGAAGATGTTTGCCGCGAACGCAGCAAGCTTCCATTTGCTTATAAGAATATGTTTTTAGTTGCCCCCGTTGGTTTTAAAGGGAACCTATGACTACTGGAAATAGTTGTCGAATTTTTCCAGGGGGCTTCAGCAAATGGAGGCAAGCCCCCTGTTGTTACTCTCCTGCTGAAGAGACATCAGAGCTGTCGCCCGAGATCTGTCACAGTTTCACCAAGCGCTCGTGCGAGGTGGTCAAAACATGGAGACAGCGTCTTGAGGTCCCCCAGCTAGGTGCCCTTTTACCTTTTTTGGGGGAGGGTTCCCCCAAAAATAGACTACAGAAAAAAGTTAGTTCCCTTATTGTAACCTCTCTCTGGAGGACCAAGCCAGAAAGCTCAGGCTCTCGAAGGACAATGAGAGGGTGTCTAGGGCGAGGTTCAAAGCCCTTGGCCTTGAAAGGGAAACTCGGTTGATCTTCCCCCTAGACGCAAAAACCCAGTGGTTGACGTACCCAAAGTGGTTGACCCTTGTTTCAAGAGTATTTCTTTCGAAGCATGTGTGCGCGTCAAAATAGCCAACATGCAGGGCTCCTCAAAAGATCTCCATTTTGCCCATTTGAAACATGGCTTTTTCCACCAAAATCAGGTGTAGAATGTAAGGATCCCTGACATGGCTGTGTTCTTTTGTTCTCCCTAACCGACCCCACACCCCCAGGCTCCACTTCCGCAAGTTGGGCCGACCCGAAGGCTCCCAGGCGGATCAGGTTAGATGGAAGCCAACCCTCAGCCCCTTTGTTTTTTCCACGAACCAGGCAAAAACATATATATATATATATATACATATATATATATATGTATATTTGTTTGCTGGGAGTCCTAATTCCAGCCACTAACCAGGCTAAATATATATATATATATATTTGGCTGGGGTCCAAATTCCAGCCTAGAACTGAGGAGTTTTTTGGTTGGGTTTGCCCATCAAAGCTTCCACCTTCACACGATTTTTGCAAATTGACCGCGCACCAAGTAGCACCAAGCACACACACACGGCACCAAATAGATGGATCCTACTGTGGATCGAAATCCATTTCGCTGCACCCAAGAAACCATGGGAGACCATTGTTTGTTGGTATTTAATCATTCCATAGTTTCTTAGGTGCGAAATGGATTTCGTCCATGCTTTGGTGCCCTACCAAGGGCCGGCCTTTCTGTTACCATCAGGTGTGCTGGGAGCATGTCTGCAGATGTCTCTCGAATTCGCCTGTGAAGTGTTTCGCATTTTTCCCATTTATGGCGAGCTCACCGATTCGGGGGGTGAAACGAGCCAAAGCCATGGTAAGGATCCTTTGCCTGGGGATCCCTTATTTCAGGTGTTGGAAATCTTGTAAAATTTGCAGACAATGGCCGTTCAGGGAATCAATTCTTGTGGATGGGCTTGATTATTGTTAAAGGAAAACCAAAAGGACCGCATATGGTTCCAACGTGTCACACTCGAGTCGATCTTAAGGAACCGCTGCCGAGTACAGGGGAGAGCAGCCTTAGAGGCCTACTTGGTTACGTTTGGCTCCAATTATATCTCAGTGGGTTTTTTTTGTTTTGAGCACAGCCTTCGTGGAGTTGCTTGAAAGGGAGAGGAAAGGCAAGCCACGTTTTTTTGTTGGAGGAGGTCCCTCAGAAAGACCGCTTATGCCCCAGTCGAGGGATTGTTGAAGCCCTTCCAGTACCCAGATCCCAGTTAGCATAGGAAACTCGGGGAGACCATGTCGAATCCAATTAATTTCTGGTTTCCTTTTGGTGGTAGCTGATCCTGGCTCAGGTTAACTCCAGCGATTCGGGAATCCTAGGGGTAGTGGTCCAAGCGGGGGATGGGGGTTTTGGGGGGGTGTGCGCGGGGTGCGGGGTGGGGTCCCGAAGCCATCCTAGAGAACCTGAAGGAACCCTAACTAGCCACCTCTCTTGTACCAGACCCCCGGATTCCATAACTTGTGGGGTTTTTGGGGGGGCAGATGGCCCATTTGGAAATGGCTCTCCGCGAGAAGTTCTCGCGCCTTCAGGTTCACGGCCTGCTCCAGCAGGTGCACAGCCTGTCGAGCTCTCTTGAGGCCGGATTTGGGTTAGGCGAAATAAACCGTTGCTTTGTTTGGCCAATCACTCGGGCAGTTCGTGTAGTTGTGTTGGTGAAGTATACGAGAATCCCGATTTGTTTCAGTGCGTTACCCTTTTTTGTGGGTGGGTTTCCCACTGAGAATGAAATCGGCCAACGAGGTCCTTTCGTAGCTTTTGTCCAGCTCCTACACGTTTGGGTGGATGCACAGCTCATCGAAATGGATTTCGTCCATCCACAGTATTAATCAACCAACCTGTTTATTAGTAAGTGGGTGTGGAATCTCCCTGGTTAAACTTGGGGAATCAGACAACTTTTGGAGGGGCCACAAACCACCCCAGGGGTTGATTTGAAGAAGGCACGATGACTGATGCGCAAGGTGAATTGACGCATTTGCGCAAGGTGAATTGTAGCTGATAGAATTGTTCTTGTTGGTGGGTTGGGTAAAAAGGGGGTTTGGCTGACGGGTCCAGACCCCCCCCCTTAGTTGCAAGGTTGCAACCATGGTGAGTTATTGCTTGGAAACTGGCATTTGTTTCTTTAAAATCCTTGCTTTAACTCCACGTCCTGCTTCCACTACAGTTGGTAGCCAGGCTAAACCATCAAGTAACGCTTGGTTGTCTATGTTAGTGGATTGTGTGGAAGGACTTGGGCAAATGGGTCGTGAACCTGAGCAACCAAGTAGTGTCGGCCCCAGAGAAAAAAATGGTTCTAGAAGTGAAGGATCTCCTTTGAAGTGGGACGCTTTTATTAGTCGACCAGGCCTTTATAGCAGTCACTCTTAGATGTGAATTCTTTTTTTTTTTCCGCTACTTACCCGCATGAAGTTGGAGTTTATGCAGCTTACCCTTGGTTTGGATTAGGGGTGTTTCTTGCCATTTACTTTCCCCAGTTGCCCCGTGGATTCCGCCCTTTTTCTTTTTTTTTTGGGGGGGAAGGGTTCCCCTGAAAAGTCAGCCAACAAAAAAAAGGATGCCCTTTTTGTCACCTGGAACTCCACTGGGCATCTGAGTTTCTCACCCTGGGTTAAGATCCGCTCCCCCCTGGTTTCCACCTAGGTCCCCCAGGAGTGCCCTTTTTACCTTTTTTGGGGGAGGGTTCCCCTACTAAAATAGACAAAACAGAAAAAGTTGGTACCAACTTATTCTAACCTCTCTACTGGAGGACAAAGCCCTTGTTCTGTTGTTCTGGACAACGGTTGGGACCAGCCTTTTGTGGCTTCAGCCTCAGACCTTTTGTGCGGTTTTAGTACTTATTGTTTTTTATTGCCAATGGATCTAACGGTTGCTGGAGGACCTAGCCACCGTTTCCCATCGGACCGCCAGGGGCTCCGCAACCAGTCCGGTGAGGACCACGAGGCCGGCGGACATCCGGCTCTTTCGCGGGTGCGGAATCGGCTTCCTCATGTGGGTGTGGATCAAAATTGTGTTTTGTTCACGTGTTGTTTCTTCATATGGCAAAACGGCCGAATGGCCGTTTGGCTCAAGTTTTGCCCTCCCGTCAGGGGGGTCACGGATTCTTGTTGCGCCAGCCATAGTGCGGCTGACTGCTTCGCCGTCGGGAAAAGGCTCCTGGCGTCGCCGCGGTTAGGCATTGGGAGGTGGGCGGAGGATCTCTGCGTGATCGTCCTGGGCTTGGACATAAACTTCCCTTCTTCAACCTATTTCCCAACCTCCCCAAACTTGATCTTCATTAACTGTCACTCCCACAATCTGGTCACCAGCACCTTCTACATTGTGCTTTGGGACCGGGTTCTTTTGGTACTTCGTGAACTACGTGTACCTCTTTGATTCCCTGGGCTACTTCGTGTTCGCCCAAAACCGCAGGTTATCAGCCGTAACAGCTAGAAGCTGGGGCTGGTGATCCGGTTGCGGGACGTGACCCGCTACCTGCTCCCATCGCCTACTTGTACGAGCAATGGCGTCCCCCGGAGCTTCACATCGTGGGCCGGGCTTCGTGGACGACGAGGCCAACGCCCTTCGCGGCAACGCCGCGCCTGCTGCCCCCGGCTTAGACAGCCGGCTGTGGCCCATTCCCCCGATGGTGGGCGCAGAGCCCAATCCCGGGGTGATCACGGACGATTGGATCCTTTCTCAGGTCGTGTTTGATGAGGATGCGGAGGCCCCTATCCCGGCGGCAGTGCTCCAGATCGAGGACGGACCCCCTCTAGAAGAGGCTGAGGTTCCTCCAAATCAGGTGCCCTCGTCGATTTCGCCTACTGTTCCGTTCGTGGCGCTCCAGATCGAAGACCGGGCTGCCCATCATGCTGCTCATCAGGAGCCGGCTCAATCTTGGTCCCTTACATGGGATCAGTTTGACCAGCTCCTCGGCAGTGGATCGCAGGCTACACCGCCTGATTTCGGTCGGCTCGACTTCGACTCGGGTGCCCCCATGTCGGTCGGGAATCTGGATTTTCAATCCCTTTTTGATGCTGATTGGAGATCTCAACCTTCCCGAATAGACAGATCTTTTGATGCCCTGCCTATGCATGAACCTACTCAGGGTTTTCCACATGATGGAGAAAATGACCCCATTGAAGATTTTTCCCCTTCTCAAGTTGCAGGTTCGGCCCAACCCGAGGCGGGCAAACGGGCGATTGAGGATTGGCCGCAAGTAGCTGGCCTTCCTCCTGTCTCAGGTTCATCCGACATTGACATCATTCACGATCACCCCAGTCCGGCGGATATGGACTTCATCCCTGATGCAGTATCATCTCACTTGTCAGGTACCCGCGACCGGAATGCGGACCGCTACAACGCTGGTCCTAATCCACCGCTTTCCTCAGGTACCCGAGGTCGGGACGCGAACCGCTACA